CTCTACTGATTATTTAGTGGATGATATGTAGTATGCTTGAGTTCTACCTACTTTTTGGTTCTTAAACATTGATTTCTTCATGAAACCAACCTCTCTACTGATAATTTAGTAGATGATATGCATTATGCTTGAGTTGTGAATTATTAATCTCCTACTTTAGAGTTTTAAGAAACTAAGCTAATATTTCAGCCTTTTATTGAATAAATACAGTTATATCATATCATCTTAAGAATATATACATTAGTTTTTTCCTTGCCGTTTCAAAAGTGATTGCAGCATACTTTTAAAATATGAAAAGAGTAATTTTGCCTATATCTGGATGTATTTTACTAATGTATTTTGGTGATGCATCTTTACTATTAGTTTACCTATGCAGATTTTTTTCCCAATTTAAGTAAAAATATTGCTTTTCCGTATGGAGTTTGCTTGAATATATTATTATTGTGATTACCTTTTAGCATCTTTTTATTTTTAATTTCTATTATTCTCCAAGCAGTTAAAAAGATTTTGATGAATGATTAGCAGCCAAGTTTGCATTGACAGTTGTATGACTTAGTAATTCTCCTTCCCATTAATTGTAGATTGACCTTTATCCACTATCATTGATCTTGCAGATACCTTCTCTAGGACTAATGCTAACTTTGTTTTATATAAATTTTAAAACAAATTTGCCTTTGGAAATTGAAAGCTCTCTTTTCTCATACAATTTTCTTTTCTGAAGTAGTGAAGAGAAGGGCCATTGTTCATAAAAAGATTATAATGGCCCTCTAACAAATATGTTTCAAAGCATGGTAAGTTTCTCCATAGGACTCTATCTAGAACTTTTTATTTCTCTCCATGATTTATTAGCTTTGAAGTGTTTCCTAAAAAACTCTCTTCTCAATTTGTCAAGCAAATATTTAGTTTCCTTATTCCTTATTTCAAGATTTATGTCATGTTTCCTTCTTAACGGATAATGGCCAAATGCAACAATGATAATGGTAGTCCCAAGGCTTCTCAAAGAATAATAATGACTAGCTAGGATAGTCTGCCTTCTCCTTCAGCAAACCAAAGCAGGGTTCTCCCAACTCTCAGATCCCTCCTAAACCATACTAAACTTGACATATCTCTAATATTGCTGATGCGGCCATTTCTATTGACATTTAAGGCAGACGATAGCACACTGTGTGAATTAGGTAGTCATTTGTATAGGCCATTGGAAGTAGAAAATCACTACCTGATACAAGACATTTGCGTTGAGCCTTTTATCATAAACACATACCTTCTTTTGTTTCACGGGTCAAGAAGCATTTTAAACTGACATGATGTCTTTTACTATAAGTTTAGCTATGCAGAAAAAATTGTGCCAAAATAAGAAAAAACAATGCTTTTTGGAGTTTGCATGAATATATTTTTATTGTGATTTCCTTTTAGCATCTTTTTTATTGTGATTTCTTATATACTTCAAGCATTTCGTTGTTTCTATATATCTAAAAGCACTACATATGAGATGGAAAGATTTTCCCGCCTGACTATTTAGTGGATGATATGTAGTATGCTTGAGTTCTACCTACTTTTTGGTTCTACCTACAGATCACCTCTAGATATACCCACCTTCTAGAAAATATATTAATGTGAGTTTTTCTTCCTTCTTCTTCACCGCATGCCAACATCAGATCACCTCCCTTCTGCCCTACCCGTTTGCCCACACCAGTTCCTACCAGAAAATTTTGATCGTTGATGTTTTAGATACTTGGACCAACATTCCATTTTATGGTCCTTATATTGCAGAGATAAATTGATGAGCCAAGTTAGTTGGCCTAAAATATTGATAAATGGATACAAATGTAATTATTATAATTATTTTAGTAACTTATAACCTATTTTAATTATCTTTCTAATAAGTATTTGCATCAAATCAAGTAAAAGTTTGGGTTTAACTGGGGACTCTTCTCCAGTATATATTCAACTAATGTTAGTTCTAATTTTTCATTGCATCATTCCATACATATAAGTTCTCTTTGTTTCATAGTTATTCATACTGTTTTTGCATAAGGTTTTACTTAAACTATTGGGCTGCATGTGAATGGTGTGAAAATCGTTTATACAAATAAATCAAGACATTAAATACTGTCTTTTTCTTAAAATGATAAAAATACAGAAATAATTACTCTTTGTGAAAAAGTTGCAGTTTTAATATTTCATGACTTCAAAATTCAAGTTTCTGAAGTTTTACAAATTTAGAAATAGTTCAAGCTACTTGTGAATTAAAGCTTTTCTACAGTTTTACTATCTTAGCTGAAAATCTTGATTTGAAAAGAAGTCTTTCCTTGATTCAACTATTGAATAGAACAAGAGAATCCTATTACTGCTACTTCAATATGAAGAAAATAAGTCATTGATGTATAATGTCTCAAATGCATAGTTTCTATTTAAATTATTGTTTTGTTTGATTATAGTCCAAGTAAAAACATCCTAAAACAAACTTGATTCAACATTTAAAAAAGTTAAAATTTTCTTTGTAATTGTTATTTACTTAATTCGTTTGTTCTTTCATCAAAAGATTTCTTTATGGTAAATAGTTTAAAAATATCGATTGAACTTTCTTTTTGACAAAGGTATATACACTATGTTATAAGTTTTCTCACTGTGTTAACTAATTTGAAAAAAGTTACATTTAAAATACATTAATCTTTGAGACTCTGAGGTATAACTTAAACGAATATTATATCTTCCCCTCAAAAATTTGTGCGGTATGAAAATGCAACTTATAATAATCAACAATAGAATATCATCGTCATGTGATGAATAACAAAAGTGTAAATAGAAGTTTGGAATATCAATATAGTAGCATCATAGAAAGCGGCTAAAGTATATATATGTGTACAAAAATATCACATAATTAAACCATAAACACACCAAATTAATGTCTTAAAGTTCATAACAAATCTAACACCTAACATTTAGTTTCTAAAAAAAGAAAATCAAGGACTAAAGAATATATTATAGTTAATACTTAATGCCTAACAAAGACAATAATAATTTCTTAAGTACTTCAATTTATTTGATTTGGATCAGTGTGTAGATGTAAGAATTGAAAATAAATAATTGTGCTTCAGTTGGATATATTTTTGGTTAGATTTTTGTCAACTCGACTATAAATTTCTCTGAACCACTTTACATTTGTGATCCTATATTACACACAAATCGGTTGGTGACTAACACTTTTATTATTACTTAATTGCTTACTTGACACTTTCAGTTAAACATTAGAAGTAAATATATTATATATTTCTTCGTATCGAACAAAACTTAACAAAAATATAATATTTATATACTTTCACAGTAAATATTTTTGCTTCATTTATATGTTAATAATAGTTACAAAGTATTACACGTGTAATTAGTTGTGATTTATCAGGTTAATCTGTTCAACCTACTAAAATGTTTAATAGGATGCCTCCTAAAATCATTTATATTATATTTCACTAATGAAACGTTTTACTCTTCTATCAGATTTTGAACTTGATCAAGGGTAAAGTTAAGGGTATTGTTTGTTAGAAATTCAAATGCTCCAGCAATCAAGGGATAGGTCATTATGTGATTTTATTGACATACTATTACTACCTCACAATGATATGTCATCACTTGAAGAGCTACTCTTTCGTGAAAAATTGTGATATAATAAATCAAATTTGTTGAAGGAATGTAAAGTTGTTGACAGAAATAACAGATGAACAATGTGTGGTTATGACATAATCATGAAATCTATATATAAAAAAATAGGAGATTCTACTTTTATAAGGTTAGGGAGAAACCGGGAGAACACATATACGAAGTACTTTGTCTGTCGCAATAAGATCTTATGGTGATATAGTGCTTAATATGACTTCGAGTGGTGTATATAGCGCTACTTCTCTTGCTTGGATAAAGGACTGCACATTCGAGATTTGCGATTCCACTTGGTATGACAAAAGACATGATGTACAAGTGTACAACATACAAATCGGTAGTCCATTTGCTAAGACGATTGAGTTATCTAAATTGATTATACATCGATGATGCACCGACACTGCTTTGATGCTCTTAACCAGAATATGAGAGACGTCCTCTACTCCAATCATTGTGATGTGAGCTTTCCTTTTGGTGTTCAAACTATTGTATTAGCGGAGACTTTATGCAGATACTTCCTATGATTTCAAAGGCACAAGACAAGACATTGTATGGTCATACTGAATAGTTCATTTCTATGGTCATACTGTAGCATAGTGAAACTAACTATGAACATGAAGTTTGATTTCAAGAATGGTCGGTGAGTGAGTGGGATGGACAAACTATCCAATCTTTTTGCGGAATGCATTTTTAACAATTGGGGGTGGCACTTTTACGCAACATCAAGATGGAGAACCACACATTGATATACTAGATTATATGATTGCTTCAATGACGTCTGATTCTATTAAATTTATGGTTTAAGCTATATATCATGACTTCTTAACTCAGGGTGATCCGATTTCCTATCTTTATTCAAGGGTTATTCTTACTTCGACCATGGATGAGGTTGATAAGGTCAAATTACATGATAGATTAGATAACGGTCCCGAGAGTAACAAGTCCATTTGAGTTGATGAAGACGAATAACCAATCAATTATGTGTTGAATGTAATATATATATATATATATATATATATATATATATATATATATATATATATATATACAAAGAATTTTATAGTAATATGTAGTTTCATTTAACAGTTTCATGGACACACACCTATTTCATCGTATGATTGTTTATATTTAACTTTGAGCATTTTTTTTAATTTTTCTATAAAATATGACTCTTATTATATTTAGTGTTTTAGTTAATTGATCTACTATCAAGTCTTTTACTTTTTAAACTAATTCATCTAATTTTCTCCGTAGGAACATTACCCGGTGCAACGCACGGGTGGAGTAACTAGTTGACATAATATCCCATACTATCGTAATTGATATATGAAAAGGTTTAGAAAGGCAGAAAGCCCCATTTTCATAGGAGTGTAGTTTAATAGGACGAATCTGAAGAGAGAGTCGATTTTTAGTAATAATAATACTAGTATTATGTAAACACTTTTACCATTTTCATTATGGCTTTGACCGAATTCTTACCTCGTCTCGGATCTCAAGATTAGGAAGAAAGAAACACTGGAGCGAGCTCAGTCATAAAATGCAGCACCATACGTGAAGAACCGAAAATGCTTACCACACAGTAGACTAATAATAGAGCAGACACAGAACGTAGAGTGAGAAAGCTACCAAATCCGGATATTTCCTTGCCGTGGAACAAGGGCGTCGGGGAGATGAGACATCTGTAGCCTTGCAATTTGCGAAGCGCACGCACCATTATGGCTAGCTCAGAGGTTTCGATCGGAGGTTTCGCTCAGCCGAGTGACGGCTCACGACCCGCCGCTGCAGGGAAGGGTAATTATACATACGGGCCTCTGTCTGTTGTTGTCAGTCGTGTTTCTCTATTTGTAGGAAACAACGGTCTTTTCAGATTCTGAGCTGATTATATATGCACACACGCCCGCGCATATGCATTTGAATTCACCGGGATTTGTTTTTCTTTTCGGATTAGGTGAAACTGAGTCGGCCTTGTACATGGAGCTATGGCGGGCATGTGCTGGGCCGCTGGTGACTGTGCCACGAGAGCAGGAACTGGTGTTTTATTTCCCCCAAGGACATATAGAGCAGGTTGGTGTTCTATACGCCTTTGAAGCATTTGTTGCGCTCAATTATCTTTTCCACTTAAATGCTTTTAGTACTGTGTTTTTTTCTCTTCGTTTATATATTTATTTGACAATATTTGCCGAGCTCCTTATAGGTCTCTTTTGACTTGGAATTTGATTTTTTAATCAAATGACTTTTTAATGGTTCCGTTTCGTAGGTTGAAGCATCCACTAATCAAGTGGCTGACCAGCAAATGCCTGTGTATAATCTTCCTCCCAAGATACTTTGCCGTGTTGCCAACGTCCTTTTGAAGGCAATGTTTGTTAATATGAACCTATTGTTGTGTTCTTAAAGGGTTTTTACATTTTATATTCAGATTTTAGAATGATTTCTTCTCAACATTATCTCTTGATGTTATAATCCTGTAAATGTTCAGGCAGAACCAGATACAGATGAGGTTTATGCCCAAGTGACCTTGATGCCTGAACCAAATGTAATTTATATTCATACAAAGTCAAATACCTACTAATGCATTCTCAACCAGGATTTAATGTAATACCTACATGTGATTGTTGGCAGCAAGATGAGAATTCCGTGAAGGGAGGATCCATGCCATCTCCAATGCCACAGTTTCATGTATATTCTTTTTGTAAAACTCTTACTGCGTCAGATACCAGCACACATGGTGGCTTTTCTGTGCTTAGGCGGCATGCAGATGAATGTCTCCCCCCACTGGTTAGAATATTTATGAGACTTTATTACTGTCTATATATGTGTCATCAGTTAATATAATGTGTTTGTGAAAGATTATTGGCATATTAAATTAATTCGAGTTATTGCTGATCTGTGACAGGACATGTCCAGGCAGCCTCCAACTCAGGAGTTGGTGACCAAAGATTTGCATGGAAATGAGTGGCGCTTCAGACATATATTCCGGGGTATATTTACGAAATTCCAATTTTAATGAACTATGATGCTCGTGATACTTTCATACTTTAATCAATAAAGGCAAATATGGATAATCACCATGCACTGCATTTCCTGTGCATTTATATTTATAATCCAATGACTTGATCTTTAACCAATTAGCGAATAGAATACTAAATGCTTCTTATGTTCAACTGCTTCATACTTGAGTCTTTTTTCTTTTAAGTTACAGTAGTGTTGCATTGTTCATAAGTAGTAATTCCCTCCATCCCATAGAAAGGTTCCCACTTTCCTTTTTTGGACGTCCCATATAAAGGTTCTCATTTTCATTTTAGGAAACAGTTAACAATCTTAAATGACAAATTTATCATTAAATACTAAAAATAATACATTTATAACATCACAGTTATCAACATTAACCCCATTATATTATATACCTATTAAAATTATTTCTCAAAATATACACAAACTATCTTATTTAATTATTGTCTAAATAAGCGTTCCGTTTTGCTATGGGAACCTTTCAAGGGGCGGAGGTAGTAGAAGATTTATGTTCTTTTTACATTTTTCTTGTTCATCTTCTGCCATATCTGTAATAAATGTTACATTGTGTATTGCGAACTTAATCTAGGGCAACCAAAAAGGCACCTCCTTCAAAGTGGTTGGAGTGTGTTTGTTAGTTCAAAAAGGCTTGTTGCAGGGGATGCATTCATATTTCTAAGGTTGGTGGCCATTCTTTGTGCTAGATATCATAATTTTTTCAGGACAACCAAATGACAAAATGAGTGTTCCTGTGTTATTATCAATTTGTTGTCAGAGGTGAGAATGGGGAGCTCCGTGTTGGTGTAAGGCGGGCCATGAGACAGCAGGGTATCTCTCCGTCATCTGTTATATCCAGTCACAGCATGCACCTTGGGGTTCTGGCGACAGCATGGCATGCCATTCAGACTAAAACCATGTTCACTATATACTACAAGCCCAGGTCTGCAGAATCGCATGAATGAAAAATCCATTTATCCTTTTCGCCCATAGTTTATCAATTTACTAACTTGTAGATGTGTGTTTTACAGGACAAGCCCTGCTGAATTTATCATTCCATATGATCAGTACATGGAGTCCATTAGAAACAATCACTCCATAGGAATGAGATTTAAAATGAGGTTTGAAGGGGAAGAAGCTCCTGAGCAGAGGTATGTCTAGTGTATTTGTACATCTATGGTTACATGTTTTTTCTATCTATAAATTCTAGGCGAGCTGCTAATGCTGTGTGAATGTTATATGGTGGTAACCCCCTATGTACTTAGATTTGCTGGGACCATTGTTGGCATTGCAGATTGTGATCCCCAGAAGTGGCCTGAATCAAAATGGAGATGTCTGAAGGTAATAATAATACCCTTTTCATGTTAGAGGGAGCGAATTATGGATAAATTTTATTTATGATGCCAAAAGGCTCTGTCCTCTTATCTTTAGGTGCGGTGGGATGAAACTTCGACAGTTCCTAGACCTGACAGGGTTTCACCTTGGAAAATAGAGCAAGCTCTTTCTCCTCCTTCACCAAATCCACTCCCGGTACCTAGACAAAAAAGGCACCGGCCCACATTTTTACATCCCGATTCCCCTGTCCTTGCAAGAGAAGGTAGTTCTTATCCTTTCTTTTATATCCTTCCTTCTTTACCTATCTTCTTTATCATTCAAGCTTACTTAGCTTCATATATGTTTTTAATTTGTATAGCTTCATTCAAAATATCCATAGACTCTCCTACAGCTTCCGCTGGGCTTTCAAAGGTCTTGCAAGGCCAAGAAGTGTCAACCATGATAGGTGGTTCTTTTGCAGAAGTTAATGAGTCGGACCCGTCTGATAAGCCAATAGGATGGGCACCATCTTTAGATGATGAAAAGATTAACAATCTTTTCACAGCACGCCGATATGGTTCAGACAAACGGTTTCCATCAGAAAGAATCGAACAACCTTGTTTCTCAGATTTATTATCAGGTGTTGGCACACACATGAACCCCTCACATGATTTTTGTTTACAGTCTGGGGATGAGTCTGCAGTTGATGCAAGTTCGGTGAAGCAAAATACACTTCAGCATCAAGAACGAGAGTGTAGCTTACTTGGGAAGCAATGGTATATTGTGCCCTCGGGCCTGTCACTGAATTTGACAGATGCAAACACTGAAAACCATGTAGAAAGTTCTGATATTCCATATCAACCACGAGGAGACTATTGGTATGGGGGGTAACAACAATTATTTTGTGCTACCAGGTAACAAACTAGAATATCATCAAAGGAACTGGTTGACTCCCCGACAAATGTCTCAGATGAAAGCCCCTTCTCATTCCAGAGATCCATTGTTTACATTCGAACCATTGCAACAACTTGAGGTCATGAAGCCAAATGATGAGAACTGCAAACTTTTTGGCATACCCCTCATAAGTAATAGCTCTGCTGTACCCATAAACACAGTGTTTGAGTCAGGTCACATCCATGCCGGTATTAACTCCCTTCATTCCGCTGCAATTGAGCTAAATGAAAGTCTTGAAAAGAAGGCCAAGGCTTCTAAAGAGTTAAATTGTCGACCTACTGGCAATGAGCAAAAGAAAAGATATCAATCTTTTTGCCCGGATGGTAGAGAAAATGAGGGGAAAATCTACAGTGGCTCTACAAGGAGTTGCACCAAGGTTTCATTTCCCCCTGTTATTGATGTGCTTATTTTCTTTATGACATTTTCTAAGATTGATTTGTAACCACTTCAGACAACTGTTTTTAAGCTCAGGTTCAGAAACAGGGCTCAGCCCTTGGAAGGTCTGTGGATCTCTCCATGTTTAAGAGCTATGATGAATTGATAGCAAAACTAGACCAGCTGTTTGACTTCAATGGTGAACTTATGTCTCAAGACAAGAATTGGATGGTTGTGTATACTGATGATGAGGGTGATATGATGCTTGTGGGAGATGATCCATGGACGTACGGATTCTCAGTTTCCAAGCACTAACAAATAATAATGTTTTCTTTTTCCTACCGTGTCAAGTATATTTAAATGACTAAAAATGTTATCTTCCTATTTCTTTGAAACAGAGAATTTTGTGGTATTGTTCGTAAAATTGGTATCTACACGAAGGAGGAGGTACAGCAGATGAATCCAGGGGAGCTGGATTCGAAAGGCGATGATATGTCATCTGTTGCAGAAGGTCTGGACACTATTGAAATGAAGAGTTTGTGGTTCCCTTCAGCATCCAGTGCTGAGGAATGTTAAATTTCTCTGAAAAGACCTAGGTATTATATGTATAGAGCCTACAAATGATATACGGAGTGCTTGGTTTTATTATTGTACATCTTGGTGTTTGTGTTATTTAGCTTTTGTTTGGGATCTATGAATATAATCTGCACATAAATTGAAAGATGATGTAACTGCTTTTATATAGTACCAGTCAATATGACTAGTCATTTCTCCAATGATACTTCGCAGGTTTATTGTGGCCTCAGGGAGAAGACTGAAGTCTTACTGATCTGTCTCTAGTCCTTTGGGGATGGGGGTGCATGAATCCCTTTCAACTTGTATGAGAGGGTCTCTCTTCCCTTATCTCTATGGTCTACAAATTAGTATTTTTATCGCGATATATACGGTATATAGTTGCTATGCTCAACAATGCATTGGTCTTTCTTTGAAGGTTCTAATGTTATATATATATAGCCCATCTTGCCGAGTTTCTTCAGCTCTGGATGCAAGTAAGAGGTAATGTGATGCCTACATCCACAATGAAATTTTTATTAGGGATTAGGGGAGTATGGAATTCTGAATGAGTGTTTTTGTATGGTATTTCAACTGTTACACCATGTATTATTTAATAAATTATTTCACTTCTTGAATATATGTGGTAACAAAATAGGTTAATGAACCAGACATATAGTAGCAGCACACCAAGTTTTAGTGCTGAAAGTCTTGACTTCGGCAAGCCAATGTTAAACCATTTAGCAGTGTCTATTTAAGGAAGTATATATGATGACATTTTGTCATTAGCAATTTAGCAGCCAATGTTAAAGCTAGTTGGTACTGCCAAATTTCAGGCGTAGCTGCCCCCACCCAAATTGAATATTGGCATCAATGGTTTAAAACCTGGATTGCCCTGAATGATCCTATTGGAACGGTTTAACCATGATGGTTGTATATTTGGTTTGTTTGTTGACCTGTTGTGCTGTTTTAGCATTTGACCCGGATTAACCTGCCAAGAACTTGAGTTGAATTGCTGACCTGGAGAAATATCGCAATCCAGTAGCTGGTTTTAAGACTGACCCGGTCATGAACAAAAAAGTTCCCAATCCACAAAAAAGAAAAGAAAAAGATATTAAAAACACATCTCATTTCATTCCCGTATTACTAATCTTATTATTACGTATATAAATATTCTATATGCTTGACTATTTTAGTTTTAGAAATGCTCCCCTCAGCCCCCCTGACTTCTCGTTAAGCCTTTTATAGTAAGGTATATCTGTCTCGTTTGTAGTTATGCTGTGCAGGTTTTACTTTAATTAGATTTAAATGTTTTGTGATTTCATTCTCCCGCTATATTTTAGGGGTTAGGGGAGAGACGGTATCCCTGATTTGAGATGAAAACCTATGTTTTAATTGTATAAACGTGTATGTTATTATTATGGGATTCAGATTCTACGTTACATTCTTTTTCAATTTCTTATTACATGCTCCATTGATTTGCAAATAAACGGTGTGCGAGTTTAGTTGAGCATAAAGGTACTTATTGCTAGACACTTTTAGATTAGTGATATCAATGAAAACTTGTGTGCGAGACTATGAGTGTATCTAGAAACTAGACAAAAAAATCTATTATATGGCAAAAATCAAATCTAAAAAATAGAAGTGAATACAAATTGATACTCGAAATTAGAAAATAAAGTGAAGTTATGTTGATTGAGAAGAATAAAATTGAAAGTTACAACTTACAAATGGAACACAAAGTTGTAATAGATGATTGCCGGCGATTATTATACTTCATATTATCATCATAGCTCAAGTATAATTCCTAACGTCTTTGATTTCTAGCTCTATTTTCTGTTTTGAAAATGTTCTTTGATTATAATTTATTTCTGTTTCTTCCATTTTTGGCGAAGTAAAATGTGGTGGGACAAAGGTTCATGTGCTCTTCCACTTTTATAATTTGACAATTGATCTATTCTTTATACACAATTCAATACCTCAATAATGTGTGGATTTAAAACTCGTTGGAAACCCTAGTAAGTAGTAAAAATAGAATAACTTATACTACTTCATTTTCATAATGCTAAACCTAAAATTTATTCATTTAAGCACATAGAATTCTAGCCAAATGCTTTCATTATGAAATCATTTTATTATCATGGATTCCGAAGATCGTCAGTCATATATATGGTTGGACCAGTTCTAGACCGGGTGGGGTACCGGGCCGGGCCTGACCGGGCTTTTTTTTGGGAAGTAAGGCCCGAAACCGGTCCGGGCTGAGCCGGTTCAATTTTTTCTTCTTCTTTTGCTTTTCTAATTAACCCCCGATCGGTGCGGTCCACCCGGTCATCGGGCCGGGCTGGGCTGTTTCACGGGCCGGTCGGGCCGGTTGCGGTCCATTTCTAGTCATACATTGTCATCTCAAACTAAAAACATAAAAAATTGGGAGAACTACCAAATAAGCTATTGAATTTAAATAAAAAGTGCAAATCACCTCTTATATAGGAGGCTCTTTTCGTCTGTCGTCATTAAGTCTAGTTTACTCATACCAAAATTTAGCTACCAATTCAATCGAGAAGGCAGTCAAATGAATTTTTGAAGATAACAACGCGGTTAAACAACACAGTATATTTCAGAAAATCAATTGAATGCCTTTCTGGTTGGATTTTTGGCTGAAATTTGGTATGAGTAAACTAGACTTAATGAAGAAGATGCTCAAAAAATTTCATCAAAAAATTTCACCGGGAACCGCCCCAAATGGCGATGACCGGACAGAGCCTCCTCTATAAGGAGTGATTTGAACTTTTTATGTATGTTCGATGGCTTATTTGGTAGTTCTCCCTAGGGATGGACCCGGGCCGGGCCGGTTCCGGTTCCGGGCCGGGCCCGGGCGGGCTTTTTTTGGGGATTGTTGGGCCCGGAACCGGCCCGGGGTGATACCGGGTCCGGTTCGTGCCGGGTCGACCCGGTCGGGTCCGGGCCGGGCCGGGCCGGGCCCGGGCTTTAATTTTTTTTTTTTTTTTTTTTGATACCAAAATTAAATTAATATTAATTGGACATAAAAAAGGGTAAAACATATTTATTTGATATTTGTAGTACAATTGAAAATTGAGTAAAAATAAAAACATGAAATACACTTTATAATAAGTAATGAAATATGAATCAATTAGAATTTCCTCCATCTTCAGTTGTTTCTTCCATAAAGTGGCGAGTGGGTTCAATGCTTATTTCTTGAGTTCTACGTTTGGCCTTCAACCAATCGTGGAAGCAAACAAGCGTCTCAAGAGAGTTTGCGCTTAATCTCGTTCTATAATCCGTTAGGACGTTGCCGGCCGCACTAAACTCTTGTTCCACAGCAACTGTTGATACCGGCATTGCTAGCACTTGCTTAGCCATCTTTGATAAGATCGGGAACGTTCTCTCTTTTTCCTTCCACCACTGAAGAACGTCAAAGTCATCCCCTTCTTCATAATCAACAGGAAATGTTAGATACAAAGAAAGCTCGTTGATCGAGCTTTGTTCATTAACCGGAGTTGATTTACTTTTTTTCATAAGATTGCCAAATGCAGATTTGAAAATTGATTTTCCTTTAGATGAAGAAGATGTTCGTGGCGGGGGAGGGGGTGCGTTACCATATTGTGCATGAAACTCATTAAATAATTGATATAATAAATTACTAACCTCTTGGAATTGTTGTTTAGGGTCTATGGCCTTGTCGTCGTACATAGGCAATGGACCAAAAAAAGAAGCATAATAGTAATCTAAACATTTCTCCAAAGAATAAAGTCTAAAACGAGGATCAAGAACAAATGCAATACCATATATATGCGGAATATAGGAATAATATTTTAAAAACTTTTGTTTCATGAAGTCACAAAAATAACTAACGTAAGCGGCGTCAGAGAATTCAGAAAAAGCGCCGGCGAGATTAACAGCTTCAACAAAAAATTGGTTTGCGGTAGGTTTATAAACATGACTAAAAGTTTCAGTGGCATTATTAAAAAACACCAAAACATTCACAATTTTTTCACAAGTGTCGATATCGGCCGGGTTTATAATATAGTTAGCATATTCTCTTAAAAAAGCGGGAAAATGGTTTTTATATCTAATAAGCACTTTAATTAAATTATAAGTACTATTCCAACGAATAGACAAATCTTTAGGAAAAGCACAATATTTGACACGTCTTTCTTTCAAATAATTTCTCCATTGCATCTTAAGTGGATTACTAGCCCAAATCAGTTTAATCCCCCCCTTGACCACCTCCAAAGCATCTCCCAACGCCGCAAGACCGTCCTTTACACATAAATTTAAAATATGACATGCACAACGCTGATGAAAAAACCTACCCATCAAAGAAGATGAACCACACAATTCACGCAATCTAGGAATAGCCGCAGTATTATTAGTAGCATTATCAAAACCAATAGCAAACACCTTATCAATCAAATTATACTCAACTAAAATACGCTCAATGAGAATATAAATATTATCGCCGGTGTGTCGATCATTAAATTCACGAAAAGCAAGAACACGTTTATGCATACACCAATCATCATCAATATAATGTGCAGTCAAACCCAAATAATATAAATGATGATGAGTATCCTCCCATATATCACTACATATGCTAACACGGCCATCAAAGTTTGCGAAAAATATTTGTAATTTTTCCTTTTCCAAAACATATTGCCTTATAACTTCTTTTTTAATTGTTTTGCGACTATAGTTTCGAAATTGAGGATTTAAAGTACCTTGAGCATATTCTTTTAAAGCAAGACTTTCGGAAAAAATAAAAGGCAAATTTTCTTCAACAATCAAATGTGACATACCAGTCAAATGTCTTTGATCATCATAGGAGAAATTACCGAAGGGTTGGCCACTTCCAAATCTTGAAATTTGTGTTTGCTTTCCCTTGCCTTTGTCTGATTTCGCATATTCCGCCGGGTGCTTGGCCTTAAGATGCCTTGTGGCGCTCCCGTACCCTCCAGAAGTTCCCAAGTTATACTTCTTTGGGCAATGCTTGCAAGTGGCGTACCATATCTCGGTTTGGGGGTCTTTAAATTTTGTAAAATTTGCCTTAAAGACTGATTCAGCTTTCTCACCGCCTTGGGAAGAAGTAGCCACTTCCGCTTGCTCTTCATCATCGTACGGTGTGCCATGAACCTCGTGCTCGACCGTTTGCGGATCCCTCTCCTCCGCATCATCATCCTCGAGCTCTTCTTCGTCAATGGTCGGGATGTTTTGTTGATGGAAGAAGGCCCCTTGATTTTGTTGTAATAGTTGTTCTACTTGCTCATCAATAGGAGAAATTTTAACTAGACATTAAATGTAACAATGCAATGAAATTTAGAGGAGAATAATAAATGTAACAATGAATTAACTATTTTGATAGGAGAAATTTAACTACTTTTATATTAAGTGTATAAGTAGATAAAGTAAATATATATATTTAAAAGTAGATAATAAGTAGATTAACTAGTAATATATAATATTATGTTTATAGTATATATAATATAAATATATGACTATAAGATGAGGAATACACTTAATATATTAAGTAGATAAATTTTCGAACAACTATAATATAATTAACAATTAACTAGTTTGATAGGAGAATAATAAATGTAACAATTAACTAGTATTAGAGGAGA